TGGAATACTATAACCCGTTGCTGCGGTCTCTAGTGTCATAGACGAGGAGGATGGCTGTGTCATTAACTGACGTGGGAGCAAGACTGGGGTTTTGAAGCAGTAGGTAATGAATGTCCATCCACCAAACTGTATGACCCTGGGCAAGTTATTGAACAACTTCTTACCACAATATCCTCATGTGTAAAAAAGAGAAAATGTTTTAAGGGTAACAACCTCAGAAGATCATGCGGTGTCTGATACATAATACACACTGTTGAAGAGTGAAAGTGACCCTGGGTATGTAACATCATAAACGTGATTGGTCCTTCCTTTAGGCTTCACAGGGATAAAAGACAGATGTAGGAAAACCTGAATCGTCTTTATGTCTCTTGAGTGAAACATCAAACACTTGAAGCTTGGGGGCAGTGGAAAGTCTCAGGACAAAAGGCACAAAAACCAGAGGTTACACAGTGTGGGAAAAGGGAAATCAAGAGGTGATTTAACAAGATTTAAAGTGAATGATGTCAGAAGTTAGCATGTACCTTTACTGGGAATTGTCCTTGGGATCGTAGAGCCTTTTGAAGAATCACTTTTTATTTATATAGAAATGATCCTCAGGTCCTTATTATTATTGGTTTTGGTGATTACTAAGTAATACATATTATAGAAAATTAGTAAAAGGGAGAAGATTAAAAAAAAAAACCTATAATTCTAACATCCAGAGATTCTTTTCATATTTTAGCTCTCTCCATTCGTCTTTCCATCCATCAGTCCATCTTTTCTTTCGTGCTTCTTTTTTTTTGTTTTTAAGAGCTGAAATTAAATTGTATCTTGTGCAACCTGCTGTGTTTTGCCAGGGAACTTAAAAGAAGGCTTATCTAGCATGAGGGATTTACTTTGGTTATGTGTAGTAAGAAGAAAATGTCTGATGTGCTTTGTCAATGAATTATTGAGGGAAAGTGCAACATGTTCTTCTCTAGCAGGCTTAAAATATACTAGGTTAAACTCATTTCAATGATGGTGAGGGCATGACCCCGCTTTACTGCCCTGTTATCCTCTGATATGTGGGCAAGCCTGGAGAGTGCTTTTCTGAGCACTTACATCTCCCAAAAGTAGCAGAAAGAAATATTGGTTAGAGTATGATGTAACAGAGACTTTTATTAATCCCTCACCTACACTTGCCTTGAGGACTGAAGAGTTTATCTCTCCCAAGAGTGTAAGACTGCTCAACTTTTCATTTTTAAATATTAAAATCACTGTAAAATTCTACTCTGACTAATCTGGAATAAAGACAGGAAAGATTAGTGTCACTAGGATATAGTTTTACATGAACAAATCATTTTAAATAGGCTTAAATCTAAGAGGTGGAAGCTGCTTTGCCTAGACTGACTGTTTGCTTAGACTATTTGTGTCAGATTGGCTAGGATAATTCTGCGTGTGTGAGGGAGAGAAGCTTTCCTTTTATGGAATGCACGATTGAAATGTAGAGGCTCCTGCTACTAGAAAATTAGAAGGTCTAATAAGAGTTATGCTAATTATTTTTTACCCAAATCACAGCTTTTTGGATCCATAATTTTCCTCGAGTATGTATCTTGGTGTGAGCAAATGTGTCATATATATATATATATATGCACACCCCCCACCCCCACCAAATCCACATACAGGAGACATGGCTCTCATCTCTTTTCTGTAGAGATGGATGAAGCTAGAGGAAATATTTTCTTAGTTGAATAGTTTTGGTTACAAAGAAATTTACTATTTATTAATTTATTCACATAATAAATGCTTACTGAACTGAGTGTGGGTACTTTGTTGCAAATGGGGGATAGGAGGTGGTCTGAAAGCATTTAAGGGTGGCAATAAGCTATTTAGTCAGTGGTGCATGTGTAACTGTTTGTCCGCTCCTGTTACTTGGTGGCCTCAGAAGTGGAGTCCTTGCTGCCTGTAGGATAAAGTCTAAACTCCTCAGCATGAGGAAACCATTTGCCATCTGGTGGTCTCCATTTGTCCTCCAGTCTCCTCTCCTAATATCTGCTGTGCCCGTCTTATGCTCTGGTCATTCCTATGAACAGAATTTGTTAAGCTTCTTACTAAGTACTGGGCATTTTCAGATAACGTGGGGCCTCTCAGACATTCTCTGTTTCTTTGTGTTCTCTTGCGTGGATCCTTGTGGTTTTCCTTATTGGAATACTCTGCCTCTGTTCGCTGGTATGACACTCAGCCACTCTGGCCATGAGATTTCTCTGGAAATCTCATTGGAGTTCTCTTATATGTGATAAATTGCTTTTTCCCTTGCTGCTTTCAAGATTTTTACTTGGGGATGGCTTGATTATAATCTGTCTTGATTGTAGGTCTCTTTAGATTTTTTTTTGGTATTCATCGAGCTTCTTGAATTTGGATGTCTATTTCCTTTCTCAGATTTGGCAAGTTTTCAGCCATTATTTCTTCAAATAGGCTACCTGCCCCGTTCTCTCCTTTGCTTTTGGCATTCCCATAATGTGTACAATTGATCATTTGGTGATGTCCTATAAGTCCCTTAAGCTATCTCGCTTTTCTTCATTCTTTTTTCTTTTCACTCCCCTTAACTCCATAATTTCACATGACTTGTGTTTAAGTCTTCTGATTCTTCTGCTTGTTCAAGTCTGCTGTTGAATCTCTCTAGGACATTTCTCAGCTCAATTATTTTTACTTCACCTTGTGAATTTGTTTGTTTGTTTGCTTTTTAAATGGTTACTGTTTGTTCATAATCTCATTTTTGTTCATGCATCATTTTCCTGGTTTTGTTTAGTTGTCTCTCTGTGTTCTCTTTTAGTTTATTGAGGATTTTTTTAAGATGATTGTTTTGCATTATTTGTCAGATAAGTTATAGATCCGTTTCTTTTAGGCTTGGTTTCTAGAGGTGTATTTTGCTCCTTTGAGTGGGCCGTGTTTCTTTGTTTCTTTGTATACTTCATGATCTTTTCTGGAAACTCAAGCATTTGAAAAAAACAGCCGCCTTCCCCAGTCTTAATGGACTGGCTTCATTGAGCGGAAGACCTTCACTAATCAGCCCGGATAGAGATTCTGGAGGTCTTTCAAACCTTTTCTGAGGATGATTGTTCTCTAGCTTTGTGTGTGAAATTTTCTTTTCTTTTTTTCTTTTTAACATCTTAATTTAATTTTTTTTCAGTGTTCCAAGATTCATTGTTTATGCACCACACCCAGTGCTCCATCCAATCCGTGCCCTCCTTAATACCCGCCACCAGGCTCACCCAACCCTCCATCTCCCTCCCCTCCTTCTCTGAGTCCACAGTCTCTCATGCTTCGTCTCCCTCCTGATTCCCCCCAATTCATTTTTCCTCTCCTTCTCCCAGTGTTCTCCATGTTATAGTTAAAGAGGTCTACCCCTGTTCTCCAGTTGCCACGACCTCTTGCTGTACCTGGTATCTGTCTGGAGCACTGCAGAGTCTGGTGCTCTAATAGGCCACCACACTCACCTTTGTTCTCAGCAGCCCCCAAAGTATCCTGCCATTCCTTTCAGCATTCTGAGTCAGGTGAGAGTTGGGCAGCCCCCTTGTAAAGCCAGAATACTGGATATTCCATTCTTCTGCTTGCCTCCCGCAGGAGAAGCTAGAAGTGGGGAGTTTTTCCTCAGTTGCACAGTGCTTTGCTCTGTGGATGGGAGCTAAGCTGGGTAAATGGAGTGAACTTCCTTTCTTACTTTGGTGTGGCTTTCTTGACTTTGTACTCACCTGGCGTGCTGCAAACTGTGGACTTTTCCCAAAGGCAAGTTGGTCCATATACTGTTAACTTGGAACCTCCATGGGGGTAGTGAGGACCTGGAGTTTTCTATTCTGCCATCTTTCTGATGTTACTCTCAAGTGTTACCTAATCCATTTTATGAAGTGGAGATAATTAATACTGGTAGACCTTTGTTTTTTAAAGAATTTATTTATTTGAGAGAGAGCGCAGGAGCAGGGGCAGGGCAGAGGGAGGAGACTCCGCACTGAGCAGGGAACTCGGTGCTGGGCTGAATCCCTGGATGAAGGCAGATGCTTAACTGAGGGAGCCACCCAGATGCCCGTATTGGTAGAACTTTAAATAGCGTAGTGGCACATCTAATCACACCAGCCTCTCCCCTCAAGGATAAAAGAAGTTATCCCAGGCTTCTTTCTAATCTGTCTCTACTGCCTGTCTCTCTGTAGTAATAGTGGCTAACATTTAGTAAATGCTCATTGTTTCTCAGGAACACTTCATGTTCCCATTATGTGTATTAATTGATTTATTTCTCACAGTAGTTATGAAAGGATGATACTATGATTATTCTCATTTTGTACATGAGGAAACTGAGTTAAGAGAGTCTTAGTAATCTAATCAAAGTTACACATCCGTTAATTATCTCAGATTCAATTTTAAGAGCCATTTTGTACATGAATGAATATATATATTCATAATTATATATATAAATGGGAATTAGTTAAGTTTGTTGTGGGTCAAGTAGAGTAACATTTTAAAGATAGAGTACAGACATCAACTATCATAATTTTATCATGGGATTATGTCATAGGTATGACTAAAAATCCTATATTCTGCAGTTGCTATAATTAGAATAACGCAGCTATATGTTTTCTTTTTTCCCTGAGCTTTATTGAGCTATAACTGACATATAGTGTAAGTTTAACATATACAACATAATTTTATATATTTATATTATGAAAATTTATATTATAAAATGTTTACTGTAATAAGGTTAACACATTCATCACCTCTCATAGTTAAAAATATTTTGAGTAAAAAAATTTACTCTTTAACAATATGAAAAAATATCCTTTAATTTGAATAAAATAATTGTATATATAAGCTATAAGTCTCTTTTTAACAAAAATTTTGTTGTAATAGGCAATTATTGAATTGTTATGGACATTGTTTTGTGCTGATCATAAGTGATAATTATGCTGTTGGCAATCTCTGTAGTTTAAATATCCAAACATAGAATGACATTAAAGATGCACTTTGGTTTTTTTTTTTTTTTTTTTTAACAGGACGGAGTTTATTCAGAGAGGCAGGATTTCAATTACAGGGGCTGGCTTTCTCAACTGCATTCTGGAAACTTTCGCCAGCACGTTCTTAAGACAGGGTGCCCAGAAGGTAAGCTTGTTTCTGCTTTGAAACAACTTTCATTTTAAGAAACCACGGATAACCCAATAACCCATTGGGTTATTGAATAAGGCTCATGAGCATATGTCATGAGAAAAAAAATACAGTTAATAAAAATAAATAGATGCAGAAATAATTATGTTTGCTATTGATTACCTAAATCCAAATCACAGTAAACCTTAAGTGCTGTTTTTGACCCATTAAATTAAAAAATATCCCAGTGAAGATTATGTAATTATATGGAAAATACTTTGAGTCTAAATAAGAGATAGAATCAGAACAAACAATTATATTTGCACTATATACAGTATGGTGACAACTATTTCCTAAAAAGAGATAATATTTATTGAGCACTTACTATATACCACTTGCTGTAAAAAGGATTTTTAATTTTTCATCTAATTTAATCCCCACAAACCCTTGAAGTAATTCTTTTTACAGGCTCCTGGTGGTCAATTCTTGTGGTTTTCAGACTCCATGCTTGTGGGAGCTTAGGCTTCCATGAAGGTGATTCAGAGGCTGCCTTACAGTTCTAAGGTCTATACTGTGTTTTAAGTAGTACTATTCTATTTTTACATCTTTTTTTTTTTTAAGATTTTATTTATTTATTTGACAGAAAGAAAGAGATCACAAGGAGGCAGAGGGGCAGGCAGAGAGAGAGGGGGAAACAGGCTCCATGCTGAGCAGGGAACCCGATGTGGGGCTCGATCCCAGGACCCTGAAATCATGACCTGAGCCGAAGGCAGAGGCTTAACCCACTGAGCTACCCAGGTGCCCCTGTAGTACAGTTTTTCTAGTCAGAAAAATGGGATTCTGTTTTGTGGGGGAACATAACAGTTAGGTAAATTGTGACTCAAAGTTAGTGTTTCCTGCCATCAAATTGCAAGTGTTCATTTGTAAAAAACCATTCTTGTGGACCATACAAACACAGGCGGTGGATTGGATTTGGCCTGTGGGCTCCACAGTTTGCCAACCCCCACTTAAAATGTATAAATATTCTTTGATTAATTCAGGTGGGTCTATGTTCGACCTGTCCATCAGTCTGAACCTATCACTGGTTGTATATATTCTGATCCTGTGAGATGCATAAAGTAGGCACTATTAGTCCCATTGTGTTGAAGAGAAATGTCTAGAAGGCATAAGTGTACCTAAAATGTGAGTGGCTGCTAGTCTGCCTTCCTTTTTCTAACATATACATGCTGAGCACCTGCTTTGTGTTAGGCACTGTGGTAAGCATAGGCTAAATGGATTTACCCAAGGTCATGGGACTAGCAAAGGGTGGAGTCTGGACTCACATTCCCATCTTTTGCAACAAGTCTTGCTCCTTGCCCCTTTATTGTGCAAGATATGTTCCGATAAACGAAGCAGAATGTTTGCCTCCTTAGCACCATCCTCTGTATTAGATGCATTTATGTTGTGGTCTTACTCCCTCTGTAGTTATTACTACTCTTTGGTTGCAAATAACAGAAACTACTTTAGGCTCATTCACTGTAAGGGTACAAGGGTTGTGAGGCAGGCAGGCAGGCTTCAGAATGGTCTGCCTGGACAGAGAGCTGCCAGGAGCCCATGCTACTCCTTCTTCAGCAGAGAATGCAACTGTTTGATTCTCTTCTCTGCTCCACAGACTGTAGAGTATGACGTGGGCCTCCACCGTCCAGGTGTGCAAGGTCTGTAGAGCTCTGGCTAGTAAAGAGACTGTCTGCTTATTTTGTTCATCTCCAAATTCCTTGGAAGGGACTCTTATTGTCCTTTCATAGGTCAAGCATGCCAGGTGGGTGGAAGTCAAGTTTTATGAATAAGGCTTGACTTGGGATGTATGTGGGTCAGGGTTGGGATGTCACTTCCCAGGGAAGGGAGGTGGTGGGATGTGCCAATAGTCCCAAAGGTTTCTGGTGTGGTGTCACAGTAGATTCCGTGTTCTTGATGGCAGAGAGGTGGTTTTATTAATCTTAATCCCAGTTCCCCTCAACTCAGAGTAGCTTGGTCAGTGCTCCAACATTTATATGGAAATGAGTAGAAAGGAGATAGAATGCATAGCTCTATCTCAGTTGGTTTCTGATGAATGTGATCTAGAAATCATCAAGTGACTATAAATTTTTAAAGTGAGGAACCCAACTAATTTCTCTTTTTTTCTCACTTTTGCTCAGAAATAAGAATATGTTTTTCCTGCTAGGTTTGCCTTTTTTGACTTTCTTTCTTTCCTTTTCTTTCTTTCTCTCTCTCTCTCTCTCTCTTTTTTTTTTTAACGGAGGCTTAGTTTAATGAGATATTTTTTCAATTTTAGGAGCCACTAGTGCTAAATTGTCTTTTACCTTTTATCCAAGTGCTGATGTTTTCCGGTATCAGCCTCACTTCGTGATAAACCTTCACAGTGGAGCCTGCGTAAATGGCTTTTTGTGGAAGTTACCGTGAAGAGTGTTTTAGGTGACTTTATTTTCACTTTAGGACTTTATCCTTGAGGCTCTTTCGTGATGGTGAAGGTGGGATCTGATACCTATTTTTATCCAGAAAAAGCACAGTGAGGCAGTCACAAAGTTTCTGTCTCTGTCTGTCAGCTAGAAGCTGGCCCTGGATACCGGCGCCCAAGGTGAGGTTGCTTGTATTTCTGTGCCTCCAAAAGTGGTGCGATTGCTTTTCTCTCCTCCCTTCACTCGGAGGTGACTTGTAATTTGGGGGCCTTTCTGAGACAAAAGCTGACTTTTTTCATATATCCCTCGGACCTCACTTTCCTCTTAGAATGAATGGAAGTTTGTGGGCAGGCGAATGACAACTGCCCCCTGTTAGCCAGGTCAACAACTAGGTTTTTGAAATAGAAGCTGTTCTAATGTCTAGCCACTAAAGCCCCTTGTGTTCGTAATGAGGCACAACTCACGTTATCCCTCTGATCCTAAATTTAATTGTCTACAAGGTAGGAATTTAAGATTTTTAAAAAAGATTTTAGTTATTTGAGAGAGTGAGTGAGAGAGCAGGAGCAGGAATAGAGGGAAAGAGAAACAGGCTCCCCACTGAGCAGGGAGCCCGGTATGGGGCTCAATCCCCAGGATCCCGAGCCGATGACCTGAGCTGGAGGCTGACACTTAACCGACTGAGCCACCCAGGCATCCCACAAGGTGGGAATTTTAATGCATTCCACAAATATGTGTGAAAACTATGTTTGAAAGTTTTCAGTTGATTGAAAAACACAGGTTAAATATACATAGTGTTCTTCTTGTTTTCAAGAATTAAAAAAAATTGAAGTCACGTGCTTTTTCATACTTTGTTTTTGTGGTTACATTTTTGTTTCTTCAAACTCATAGGAACACACAAGTAGGTTTTAAACTCAGAAGTTTAGTTCCACAAACACTTTGGGTATCAACTGTGTGCCAGGCACTGGGTGGGATGCTAGAGATACCAATAGGAAGGAGAATTCATGAGAGTAGAATATGTGTCTTATACAGCTTTATTTCACAGGTATCTAAAAGCTTGGGGTGGGCAGCTTGACAGGCAATGAATAAACATCTGATAGTGAGAATTTATTGAGCCCCACTTGGTGCTTGGTGCTTGGCACTATGGACAGTGCTGAGAAGGGTATTAAAATAACAACTGTAGTTAAAAGAGGTTACTAGATGCCAAGCACTATGCATGGTACACATTACCTAAATTACTTTTCTTTCTCTCTCTCTTTTTCTTTTTCTTTCTCTCTTTCTCTCTCTCTCTTTTTTTTTTAAAGATTTATTTATTTGACAGAGAGATCACAGGTAGGCAGAGAGGCAGGCAGAGAGAGAAGGGGAAGCAGGCTCCCTGCTGAGCAGAGAGCCCGATGCGACGACTCTGAGATCATGACCTGAGGCCAAAGGCAGAGGCTTAACCCACTGAGCCACCCAGGCGCCCCCTTTCTTTCTTTCATTTCCTTCCTTCCTCTTTCTTTCAGCTTTATTTACTTTTTTTGGTGGGGAGAGAATGAGTGTGAGCAGGGGGAAGGGGCAGAGGGAGAGAGAGAATCCAGGCAGACTCCCTGCTGAGCCCAGTGTGGGGCTCCATCCCAGGACACTGAGATCATGACCTGAGCCAAAATCAAGAGTCAGACATTTTAACCAACTGAGACACCCAGGCGCCCCCTCCACCCCCAAATTACTTTTCTAAACTCTGTGACATAGGAACTTTTAGTCCTGTTTTATGCATCAGGAAACTGAGGTCCCAGGCCATAAAGCAGTTTTCTCAAGGTCACAGAATTAGTGGTGAACTTGGGATTTGAACCCTGACCTCGTGGGCTGTAGAGTGTGCTGTTAATGATTATATCCCACTGCCACATCTACCCGCTCTGCCCTTAGGCAACCGCGTGTGTGGTGGCAGATGTGGCGTGCTTGCTAGAGCTAGAGCAAGGTGATGTGGTATTTACAGGAAGGACAGAGGAATGCAGAAGCAAGGAATTCATTTGCTATGGAAGAACTTGGAATAGCCAGGGGAATGAGGGGCTCTGATGTTGGTAGTTGAAAGGATTTTGAATGGCTGGAGAGTGTCCTCCCTTCTGGTCAGAGCTCCCTGCTTCTGGTTTTACCCAGCTTCTACCTGGTCTAAATTCCAGAGTGCCAGACAGGTTGAGGGTGTTTTCAGCTGTTAGTTATATCCTTTTTTTCTGCTTTCCTATGGACTGTGAGTTTGTTATTGTGCTGTCTTGGAAGTATCTTCGTATTACAAAAAAAAATTTCAATTGCGTTTTTCACAGAAGTAGAATAAACAGTCCTAGAGTCTGTATGGAAGCAGAGAAGACCTCAAACAGCCAAAGCAGTCTTGAGGAAGAAGCTGGAGGCATTGTGCTCCCTGATGGCAAACTATATGACAGAGTTGTAGTCATCAAACCCTTACGGTATTGCCTAAAAACAGACATACAGATCAAAGGGACAAAATAGAGAGCCCAGAAGTCAACCCATGCTTATTTGGTCAATTAATTTATAACAGAATAACCATGAATATACAGTAGGGAAAGGACAGTCTTTTCAACAAATGGTGCT